TTTTTTTTTAAAATATATCTTTATTGATTTCAGAGAAAGGAGAGGAGAGAGAGATAGAAACATCAATGATGAGAGAGTCATTGATCGAGCCCGCAACCCGGGCATGTGCCCTGACCGGGAATCGAACCCCAATCGCCTGGATCCCAGGTTGACGCTTAACCGCTGAGCCACGCCGGCCGAGCAGAAAATTTGACTTCTTTAATTTTAAATATTTCAAGCATACTGAAAGAGTACCCAAAATATGTCCATTTTTAAATCTAGCACCTTTGTCAGTTTTTAAATTTGCCACATTTGTTTTGGAGTTTTAAAAAGAAGTAAAACAAATACAATTGGAGCCCCATATAACATTTCTTTCCATTTTCTGAAGTTATATTTATATTATAAATGTTTTTATGTTTTTACTACTTGTATATGCATTTATGTAGTATTACTTAACATGTTTATAAACTGGTATGAGTGGTTTATATTAGCATTTTCAGGCACCTAGTTTTTTTTACTCAACATTGTTTTTTACTTTTCTATTGTATGTATGAGATAAGGATTTCTCTGGGGTGATCTGAAAATTCTGCAGAGAACATTAGTTTACATGAATTATGATCTGGATCTAAAATTCAGATTTTTTGAAAGCTGCTTACATGCAGCTACTTTGATGCAGATACTAGGGTATGGAATACATCGTTACTAAACATTTCCTCATTGGTACAACCATTGTGAAAAGTAATTTGGCTATATTTAATGATCTGGCCACACTAATAAAGCAATAATTGTCACATTTGCATATTTCTTTCTATTTTTTAAATTTAGGTACCATATTTCTATATGCAGATAACTTTTAAAAAACATGCTGCAGTATATTCAGTTTTAAATTGGCTGCACTTAAGTAGCTTTCAAATAATTTGAAGTTTAGATCCAGGTCAGAATTCATGTAAACTAATGTTCTCTGCAGAATTAAAATTTTAGATCACTCTAAACTATATTAATGTAATTCTGATACATTTAAAATAGTTGAATACTATATTTAACTCTGTTCTGATTTATTAGTGATACGAATGCCGAAATAATGGCAGTAAGTTTCTTTATGGGGCTGAATAATTAATTCACTTTTTAAAATACCATGTTCCTTCTTTCTCTCTCATTAATTTGGTGATATAATCAATCCTTTGTGATTGATTTTTGAGCCAGAAAAACTATTAAAATTAGAGCAAGGTTTGCACATTTACTTAAGGAAAATATAAAAGCAATTGATTTTTTAAAATAATAAGTATATATGAACTTTAGGATAAAGTTGATCAGAGATAGTAGAATGCAAAATAAAGAAAAAGATCATATTCCTACTTATCTATCACAAACTTCCATTTTGCTAATGTTTCATCATTCCTGTAACTGAAATTGAGAAGCAGGCATTATTATTGCTTAGAGCTACATGGTTGTGGTTTGGCCATGTACTGTAAAATTCACCCTTTCAGGTGTACAGTTCAGTTGTTTTTAGTACATTCACAAGGTTGTGCAACTATAATTACTGTCAAATTCCAGAACATTTTTATCACCCCCTATATACCTATCACTCCACCTCCTACCCCCTAGCTCCTGGCAACCTTGAATTTACTTTTTATCTCTATAGATTTGTCTATCCTGGACATTTCATATAAACAGAATCATTTAATATGTGGTATCTTGTGACTGGTTTCTTTCACTTAGCATAATGTTCTTTCATGTTGTGGCTTGTCAGTTCTTTTCTATGGCCAAATAATATACCATTCTATGGTTATACATTATTTATTTTATCTATTTATTAGTTAATAGAAATTTGAGTTTTTCTATTTTTTGGCTATTTTGAATCATGCTGCTATAAACATTCGTGTACCAATTTTTATGTGAACGTATGTTTTCCGTTCTCTTGCTTGGGTATGTAACTACAAGTGGAAATGCTGGGTCATATATTAACTCTGTATAACAATTTGAGGAACTGACAAACTGTTCTCCAAAGCAACTGCATCAGTTCACATCCCCAGCAGCAATGAATGACGGTTTCAATTTTACCATATTTTTGGCAATAATTTCTGTTTTCCTTTTTTCTTTTAAAAAAAACCACTGATATATCTAGTGGGCATGAAGTGGTATCTCATTCTGTTGTGTTTTTTTTTAAAAAATGTTTTATTGATTTTTAGAGAGAGAAGAAGGGAGAGGGATTGAGATAGAAACATTAATGAGAGAGAAACATCATTGATCGGCTGTCTCCTGCACATTCCCCACTGGGGATCTAGCCCACAACCTGGGCAGGTTCCCTGACTGGGAATTGAACCTGTGATCCCTTGTTTCCTGGGTCAGTGCTCAACCAGTGAGCCACCCCGGAGGCTGGGCTCATCTGGGCTCATCGTGGTTTTGATTTGCAGATCTCTGATGACTAATGATGTTGAGGGCCTTTTCACATGCTTATTATCCATTCTTATATCTTATTTGGAGAACTGTCTATTCAGATCCTTTGTCCATTTTTAAATTGGGATTTTTTTATTGTTGAGTTGTAAGAGTTCTTTATGTATTCTAGATAAAAGTCCCTTATGAAATATATGACTTACAGATATTTTCTCCCATTCTGTGGATGTCTTTTCACTCTCTTTTTCAAAATATGTTTTTTATTGATTTTAGAAAGAGAGGAAGGGAGAGGGAGAAAGAAACATCGATGAGAGAAACATGGATCAGCTGCCTCCTGCACACCCCCTTCTAGGGATCGAGCCCACAACCAGGGCATGTGCCCTGACCGGGAATCAAACCTGCGACCTCTCGCAAGGGACAGTGTTCAACCAACCCAGCCACACTGGCCAGGGCTTTTTTTCACTCTCATGATAGTGCCCTTTGGAGGACAGTTGCTTTTAATTTTGAAGTCTAATTTATCTTTTTCCTTTTGTTGCTCTTGCTTTTGGTGCCCTAAGAAACCATCACCGAAACCAAGTTCACAAAGATTTGCTCCTCTGTTTTCTTCTAAGAGCTTTTTAAAAAAATAGTTTTAGCCCGGCTGGCGTGCTCAGCAGTTGAGCATCGACCTATAATCCAGGAGATCCCAGTTCGATTCCAGGTTAAGGCACATGCCAGGGTTGTGGGCTCGATCCCCAGCAGGGGGCGTGCAGGAGGCAGCTGATAAATGACTCTCACCATTGGTGTTTCTCTCCCTCCCTCGCCCTTCCTCTCTCTGAAATCAATAAAAAAATATATTTAAAAAAATAGTTTTAGATTTTACATTTAGGGCTGTGATCCATTTTTAGTTAATTTCTGTAGATGATGTGAAATAGGGTCCAACTTCATTCCTTTACACATGCCTATCCAGGTATCTCAGCACCATTTGTTGAAATGACTATTCTTTCCTCATTGAATTACCTTGGTACCCTTGTTGAAAATCAGTTGACCATAAATATGTGTTTATTTCTAGACTCTCAATTCTATTCCATTGATCTCTATGTCTGTCCTTATGGCAATATCAGATTGTTTTGATTACTATAGTTCTGTAGTAAAACTTGAAATCAGTAAGTAGGAGTCCTCCAACTTTCTTTTTCAAGATTGTTTTGGCTATTCTGGGTCCCTTGCAATTTCATATGAATTTTAGGATCACCTTTCAATTTCAGCACAAAAGGTAGCTGGGATTTTCATTGGGATTGCATATAGATCAATTTGAAGAGTAGCATGCATTACTTTGACAATTAATGTAAGAGAAAGACAAAATTCCTTAAAGTTATGAGTCACAAGTTTTCTTAGTGATGTTAATTTTTATGATTTCATCAATTGATCTTATTGATAAAGATCGTTCTTATGACATGACATTTCCCCCTTTAGGTAAACGCATTTATTACATGCATATATTACATATGTTTAAGAAAGAGTCCGTTATTATTTCATAATAATTTTTTGAAAGCAACAGCAGTGACCCAAAGGTATCTAGACATCCACCTGTATGAAGTAGCACATGTATTTTCTGATGAAACATCACGTGGGGATTCTTGCCACATGATCGTTCTTCTTTTTGGTAGGTTTTATAAATCTTAAACATTCTAATTCAGAAGCAGCTTTAATAAACCAAGAATGCATAATTTCATGCACTTATTTTCTGAGAGTGTGGAATTTACATCCATTTCTTTAGAAGCTGTTAATGTTCCTAAGGCTTTTGATCGATCCATGAAGTTGATTTGCCTGCTTCGATTTCAGGTGCAGTTTATGTGCTGTGCAGGTATTGGGGGCAATCTTTGATATATAGCTTTCCTCATTTTTCAGAGCTTCGTTCTTCAGCTAATAGTAAGGATTGTTAAAAGGAGCATGTAGGGCGGTTCATGGAGCAGGGTGTGAGCAGCACTGAAGTACACCAATTCATACAGAGGCTGTATCTCTGGAGGCAGAAGATATTGTGTCGCCAGACTGTTGATGAAGTTCGTGAGGTATTCTCTGAGTTCTTTAAACTAAGATTACTTCTTATTTGCTCTTATAACTCCTTCATTTCCATCAAGGACTTCTGAAAGTGAAAGAAGCCTGTCTTGATTTTCTTCCTCTTTGGCTTGTTTCAGACCTGTGAAACTGGGCCAGGAACTTCTTTATTTTCTTTGCTGTGCTGCCAAACTACTTTTCAGAAGACTTAAAAACTTAGAAACATTTCTGAAAAATGATCATTAGCTCATCTTTAACCAACATCTTTAGCAACTGCAAGGTTAATACACATTCTACTGACTCCATGTTCTTTTGTACACATGCACGTTGTAGCTCTGTGATCTGCCGACTTAGTGGGTACTTGGGAAAAGGTATCTCTGAGACATCTCAAAACCAGGAAGTAATTTGTATGACAAACATGCAGGTTTTCTAGTAATGATGTGGGTTGTTTAAAATCCTCTCATTGAGCCCTGGCCAGTGTGGCTCATTTGGTTGGACCCTTGTCCATGCACCAAAAGGTAGAGGGTTTGGTTCTAGTCAAGGCATATACCCAGGTTTCGGGGTCAATCCTGGTCAGGGCAGGTGCGGGAGGCAACCAATAGATCTCTCTCTCTCTCCTCCCTTCCCCTCCTCCACCCCCCTCCCCC